GGTTCCCTGAACAGACATGTCAGCCATTTTGTGATGACACTTTCCCTCTCCCCCTATTCCCAAAGTTCAGCATTGGCCATCTTGACCCATTCTGGAGAGCCATGTTAGCTCTGTGTTGGGTAAGCACAAACTGACCCTTATGACCCTCTGCACCCAACTGGGTCATTTGAGGATCAAATGAAACCATTTACATATCTGGAAGATAAGAATCCCCTAATACATCTTGACCATTGTAATGATACGGATTCGATTTAGGAGGGTTAATGCATGGTGAGTCGAGTCAGAATATTAGACCATCAGCTCCACTTGATGGGTAATAAAACAGCTAGCCAGCAAAGAATGTAAGACAAGCTACCCTGGCTATGCTAACGGGTCTTCCAGGAAGAGGAGCTAACGGCTAAAGCTGAACTTCTTATTGTCAAGGTTTTGTAGAGTTTTATTTTCTCAAATTGTTACATAATTTTCCACAGTTTGCAATTTACTATATTGAGAACGCCAATCTGTCAAGTGCTGACTATCCTCGATGCTTTAACGGTGAAATTAAATTAATTCCTGCAATAGTTCTAGAACAGCACGTGTACACCATCATTTTTCCCTCTTAGTTCTGAGATGCAGATTTATAACTATTGTATTTTGGTATTTTGTTGCCACTTACAAAAAAAAGGCCCAAGTTAGCTGCCAAAGAGTAATTTCTCCAGAGTCGATTAGTATGAATTCCTCTCTACTGGAACATTCTTCACTTTTAAGCACACATATGAAAACATCGTAATGATAGATAATATGAGGCTTGAATAATCCCCAATGTCATTAGGGCTGTTTTGATAAGTATATCCTACACTTGATAGAGCCCGCTCCACAGTTTGATTAAGGAAGCCTAATCTTATCTAATAGCATACTTGCTTCCAGATCTCTTCAGTTCGATGTCAGGTTTCACAAATGCCAGTACTCTGTCTGGGATTTGTAAATATCTTTAAGCTATTTAGAGAAGAGAATGACATTTTTCACAACTGTTCCCAATTTACATCCAAGCTAGATCATTTCTTTCAAAGTGACCTGATAATTGCTTGCACCTGATCATAAGCTGAGCCCTCAGCTGACCCTAGCATCGCAGGCTTCCCAGGGTGAGCTAACCGTAGCTCAATTAACACAGCCCACTCAGTCTCACCACTGATTCTCTGAGACACGAATGGGTACTGCACTACACTTTCATGAAGGCTACGGTAGCTACTGTATAAATTGTTTACTATTCTCGTTTAGCCTCTTGAAAGAATTGCTAGGAAAAGCTGAAAATGTAGTCAATTAATTTCTTCAAAATTTGGTAACAAAGATCTTTTTGTTTTAAAATTACTTAAAAGTATCTCATGGCTCAGCAGCTAGGAACCTTTGTGTGCAGGCCTGGGGACCAGTGTTCCAGGTCCTTGTACCCATTTTAAGCACAACCCTTCCCATGTGTGTCAAGCCAGCACTGAATGTTGGAGACATGAGCATTGCTGGACCTTGCTGCCCTTCATCTGAGCTAAAAAACATAATCAAGTTCATCAAAGACCCTTCCTCAGAGGAACAAGGTGGAGATGGATAGATTTCACACCAAAAGCCCTCACCAGGCTTCTGCTGTATGCAGGCACTCACTCTCCAACCTCAACTGCATATATACCACACACATATGCATCCATATGCCTCTCATATGCTCTCACTCCCAAAAGTGATTTATAAATTTAACCTAATTAGTAATCTAATTTTGTAATTATTCAGAAGCAAACAGAAAAATGTAAAAAAAAAAACAGAATAAAGAAGGAATTTTATTATAAATAAGACAATGTTATATTTTAAATTGTCATGACAACTTCCTACTTTCTTTCATTTAAACCAATGCATGTATATTATTCTACCATACATGGAGAGAAACAAAAAACAAGACAAATGTGTCTACCTGGAACAAACTTACATTCTTTCTTGCCAACACAGGCAGCTAATAAAATTTTAGTAATTTGAAAAAAAATTAAATAATTTAGTTTAAATGTTAACAAAACATGTGGCTTAGTTTATAAAACCCTACAACAGAAACCAACTATGTAGCTAATAGCAATGTCCAGAGAGAAAGCCGGATTCCCTGAGTATTTTCTCTCAGAAAACTGACAAGTAACTGTGTCTCACAATTTTATTTTAGCTTCTTTAGTTCCCATATCTTATCACTATCATCCAATCAGCAGCAGGAAACAGAATATAGAGAAAACACCATCCGGGGAGGTAGAGTGAATTATGGAAAACACTGGTTAACTGAATATTTGTTCCATGAAATATGATGTATGAAAAAACCAATTTTGAGTAGCATTTTTATAAAGTTGGAGTGAGGATTTAAACTATTCTAATAGAGCATGTACCATCCTTTGTTCTTTTGGCAGTAAAATGTTAGGACCATAAAAAGTTACTTCTGTGATTTACAAAGACATATCCTCCAGGGCCACTACTTGTTTGAGAAAGTGTTTAAATTATTATGGTCAGAATATAAACAGGTTTGCATCTTTCATTTGCTCCATTTGAAGTGTTTTATGCTCTGCTGCTTGACCAGATTTAGAGGACAGACAACAACATAAATCAGACTGATTTATTTAAACTAAATAAAGATTTTTAAACTGGTAGGATATTCCTGAAACTGCACATTTTCCTACCTTCTGATTTATTTGGCATTGGTTTTAAATAGGAAAAACAAAATACCCAAAAAATTCTAGCTGGCCAAGCAACAGAAAATATAGCATCTCAAATATTATTAGAAGCAATGCCTTGGGACTGGCCAAGCTATTTGGACACTATTTAACCTAGAGAAGCTGTTCTTTGTATGGCCTTATATTAGGATCTGGAGCCTAAAAAGCACCAGATCCAGATGTAGCTGACTAGCACAGGTGAGCCCAGGTCATTCAGAGCCTCTGACAGGGAGCCTAGCTAGCAAATAGTGTTTCCCAGGGAACTCTAATGTCCATCGAGGACAAGGCGCTCTAATACTGGAGGAGAAGTAAGAAAAACTCCAAGAAACCTGACTGTTTCAAAATTGTTGACATCTAACCAAAAGATATGAACAATTTTAAGTTCTAGTAGACACCTTTCCAAAAGTCAAAGAAATACATGAAATTAACAACAAATTGATGAAGTACAAGCATTCTTGCTAGAACATAATATAAAGCATTTAATAAGTAAGTTTACATCTTCTCTTTCCAAAACCTAGCAAGTGTTTCTTTGTTTCAGTATAAATCAGTTTAAAAGAGCCACGCATTAAGCATCAAGACCTTTGCACACGCCTAAGGAACACCATAGAGATGCTACAGTATTCTGTGTTCCCAGGTCAGGTGTCAGACCTTAGGAAAGCCTTCGCTGATATTGTCAAAGCTTACTGAATTAAGATAGTCTATGAACTAACAATGAAAATCTGAGGAAGGTACATGTTTTAAAGAACTAGAATTCATATGAATTAAGGATATGGAGCCTCTTCCTTTCTTCCTTTCCAATATATTATTATCTTACAAATAGACACATACTCTGTATAACTGTAATAGTTTACACAATGTACTGAAGAATAATATTGGTTATGTACTATTATTGCCTCTCTACACTCTGTTATCTTTGAAACAAAATAAAATGATGACTACAACAATAACAGTACAACAAAAGCCCTCTCTGTATCTTGATTCCCCAACCTCTAAATGGGGGCTGGTAAACAGTGTATACATCACAGAAATATGAGCGGGTGGATACATTTACCCATTTTATAAATGTTGGTTATTGCTGCCCAGTGGATGTTAGGTATCATTATGATTTTAATTAATACATGATTTTGTTAGTAATATTTTACCTTTTTATTTAATAATTTGATGTCATGTCATAATATCAACATAGAAAAATTTTATGTATTTCCTGCTAGTTTAGTGGCATTTGGGTTGATTGTAATCTCTAGTATTATAAAACTGCAGACAATAACACTACACCTATATTGCTTCATGAATCTGTATACTTAAAGACAAATTAGCACTCAGAAGTCTATTTATATTTTATATTTATATTTACTTATATTTTATTTTAAATTATTAAGGTAACATATAAGAGAAAAAATTAAAGGTATCAACTAATGTCTCTAATGTTTCCTCACTCTAAGTGGAAAGCACTAATATTTCAATGTCTCATAATAATTAACAAGTTAATTTCACTAATTTATCACATTAAAAAGTTTAATTATTTCCATAGATCATTTTGGATTCCTTTTCATTCCATTAGAAAAGAAAAGTAGTAGACCACTAGCATTATAATTTAATTTGTCCAACATGGTTATTTTGTAAAGAACTTGTATTACTAAAATAAACTCCTCTCAGAATTGGACCTTTGGATTGCTACAGCATGGATCACCACAGACTGCAATTATAAAAGACTGATAACAAAGTCCCTTTGTCCTTACTATAGTTAGACCCCTTCCCTCGGTCAGGGCACGAGCTGAGCCAAGGGAGTGTGCTGTGCAGGGTTTCCTTCTCATTAACAAGAACAAGAAAAGCAGGGCCTCAGAGAAACCTCCTGGCAAGCTTCTTGTAAGCATTCATGGTTAAGCAAATTGAATATAACATCCAGGAAGGCATATTTTTTAAAGATTATATTCTATATAGTTGAAGGATGAAGCTTTAGGTATTTGTTTTTTATTTATAATTGTGGCCCCCGAGGCTTTGAACACCTGCTTCTCTTCCTGGCTTTGTTACTCTCCATAAAGGAAGAGATTCCTGTTGGCAAGGAGTGAGAGGTTAAGTATCCAGAAATACTGCACTAAAACACGAAATTGTAAAGGAGGAAAATCAGCCATAAAATAGCTTTACTTGGGGAGTTATTGTTTAGGGCAAGTTTCATTGCAGACTCTGTCCAAATAGCATCTAGCAAGAAAAAGCAGAGACAAAAATTCAGCACTCTGAATGAAAGCTTTCTTTGCGAGTCAACCTTCCCTTTTGATTAACTTTTGCCTTATCCTGTAGGGTTTTCCCAAATAAGATGGATGAACATAAGGAGAAACAAGCAGACGGAGAGACATAATAGAACAGGTATGGGCCTGTGAGATTGGGACATGGGGCTAACGGTAAGACAAGGAGAGCACTGGAGAAAGACTAGCCAATGGTAGAATGCAGAGGCATTCTCATGAGGTGTACTACAGCAATGGTTCTCAACCTGTGGGACACAGCCCCCTCAGGGGCGTTGAATGACCTTTTCATAGGGATTGCCTAAAAACCATCATAAACAAACAGATATTTACATTATATGATTCATAAGAGTAGCAAATGTACAATTATCAAATAGCAACAAAAATAATTTTATGGTTAGGGGTCCCCACAATCCAAGGATCTGAATTTAAGGGTCACAGTTCTAGGAAGGTTGAGAACCATTGTACTAGACTCTCTGGCTACCCTAATAATGGTGTATCCTGTTCCACATGGTAAAACTAGATGACCAACTGGATACGTTAGAGTCTGTGGTGAGCTTAGTGATGGAATCACCCCATTACAGGTCTTTATTACAGGGATCTTCTGTGTCCACCTCTAGAGAGACATCATGGAGTAATATTTAAATACTTGAATAAAATATTATGTGCACATTGCTTTGTTTGTATTTGAGTATGGTTTCTTCTATACCAAATTTTTTTTTAAAAAAATGATTTTTGACTTGTGCTCTTCCTACATTCTACTATATCTGAATACCACATATGTAATTTCCAATTGTGAAGTTCAAAATTGCTATAAGAGAAAACTAACTTGAAACAATAAAAACAAGCCCATTGTTTTTGTGCTTTCCTATGTAAAACTCAGTACCCTAAATCAAGAAACAAGCAGAGAAAAGAAAGTGGGTTTTGTACTTTAAGATTAAAACCATGGTCAAATAGGAGCGAAACGAATTTCCTAAGTGTTTGACTCTAGGACATTTTCTCATAAGCAAATGTGGGATCTATGTGTTGATGCTCGTCTGCTGCACTATGCTAATCCCCACTGCTAGAGAACTCCACAATCTCCAAAGGTGATCTCCCAGAGCTACTTATCACAATAAACTATGTCATAGGATGATTAAGAGTGCATAATAAGCTATAAAGTTCACCCTAAGAGACAAGGAAAACTTAAAACTAGCCCTTAGTGGGGAACACAAAGGTGTAGATGCTGAAATGCATGTTTTGGTTTGAATTCAGGACTGCCCAATGAATCACTGTGGAAGAGAGAAAGATTCAAAGACTTATGAGCACCAACAGCAAAGGGCTTATCCTCCTATATATTTTTTTTTACTTTATAATTTTTTATTGGATATTCAAGCACACTCATCACTATCGTGGTAGCTCTGTGAAGGGAGTGAGAAGTAAGTAGGAAATGACAGGCAGAGAGAGAGAGAGAGAGAGAGAGAGAGAGAGAGAGAGAGGGAGAGGGAGAGGGAGTGGGAGAGGGAGAGGGAGAGGGAGAGGGAGAGGGAGAGGGAGAGAGGGAGAGAGAGAGAGAGGGAGGAGAGAGATCTCTGAAATGCGTGGGATGTGGACATGTCTGTCTTGCCGTTTTGGCACTGAGTTCTGGGTTCAGAGTTGGCGACTGAGCATGGAGCAGGTGACCAGCATCTGGCTCTTGTCATCTCTCAGTTTTAGAATCTGTTGCCAGTATCACTATTGTCTTTGCATTTTGAATGCTCAATTTCCGCATTCTGACAGATGGTTTCTAGAATATTTTCCAGCTGTAGGGGAGATACGGGGTGAGGGAATTCACCTTTATTGCCGTGTCCTGAAGTGGGCCTATCCCACTCTTCAAAAACTATGTTTACACAACAGTGTTTCCTCTTTTTTTGTAGATAAAGAGACTAAGGCTCTGAGCAAATGAAAAGCTTTCTTCAGACACCCCAAGGTGATAGGAGAGCTGAAAGTCAAATTTATGTCCTCTGCCTCAAAGTTGCCATTTAGAAGGCTGTTCGACTTTTTATTTTGACTGCCTCAAATTATCCATATAAGGCTGACTTGAATAATTTGCAGATTACTAGAATTTATTTTGAAAAATGTCAATTTCCCTTTCTATAACTCTCAATCATTCTATCTATATTCTGTTCTCCTGCAACTCATGTTTATTTAAATGTTTCTTCAAAATCATTTTTCTGTATCTGAAAAGCTGGAAGCATTATTTTAAGGATTCAAGAATTCCCTTAAATCAGGTGAATAAATGTGTTTATACTTGCTTGTTTAGAAACTCAGTATTATAAAAGAAAAACACTCTCAGGTTTCTGCAAATGAGAGTGGAATTTTGCAAATTTTCGTTAGTAATGCCAAACCAGCTTCTGCTTTGCAAGAGTGACAGCCATTGCAAGGAACACCTGTTATCTAGACAGTTCTCAGTCCCACCTGTAGGGATGTACCAGCAAACTGGCAGCTAATATAAAGAATTAAGACAGACAGAGAAATAAAGCCGATCATCCTCCAGACAGTGGCTGAACATGGTCCAGGAATGGAGTCCTGTGAGGAGTGCTTGTGAGAAAACTACAAGAAACCGAGACAAAAGTCTTGTGATCTCGGTTTCTTCAAAACCTCAGAAATGTTCCTGGATTATGTTTTTGTGCCCATCCCATTACAATTGCCTATTGTTATTTGTTTACATGCCTCTGTGGAAAAACCTGGTTTTGCTATGCGTGGCTTGATCACCATGTGGCTTGCCTGTCATATGTGGTTTGCTCTTGTGATTACACTCATATGACTCCCCTTGACCCTCAGAGGGTAATAGACTGATGCTCTGAATGAAACTGGCTATTTCAAGACACTTTAGTCTGTCTTATTTATTGGCTTCATTCTCTCTTGGGGGACAGGGAGTGACATGACAGCATGCAAGGTTCTAGTATGATTAGAACCGTGGGCAGGCTGAGAGCATAATGCTGAGTCTCCAGGACTACACCAACTGTTCTGCACAGCTATATAAACTTATAGCTATTGAAATTAGGTATAATTTAAAAATAGATCCCCTTCTTACACTAGTTCTACTCCAAGAGCTCAATACCGCAACCAGTAGTGGCTGCCCTACTGCACAGCCCTAATTTTAGAATTTTACTTTTTTATTTTTTTTTTAACCAGAATTTGAAGGTACTACCCCATGCTTCAGATACAACATGCTTCAGATACAGGATTTGGAGGAATATAGCTGGGATATAACTTCTGGAAGTCTTCTCCCTGAGGACTAGCTTTAATAGCATCTTAAGGGGCTATGCAAGTTTCCTAGGAAAAGAACACAGTAATTCGTCCTATCCAGTGGTAAGCCCTATGAGCCACTACAACAACTGGGTAAGAAAGGAAATCCCAGTGATGTCATAGTAGCACATTTATCTTGAAGAGAATCAACAGCCATCTAATTGTACTTTTAACCCATTCAGTGGGAAGGGAGAGGATCATGCCTGGCACTGTAAACCAGCTAGCCATGGCTGGAGCTATACTATACCCAGGGCTGAACCTACTTTTGCCATTTTCCTACTAATATAATCTCTAATTCTACTATAAATACCCTTATACCCACAGAAAGGTTTAGCTTTCATCAGTCATCAAAGATTTTTATTCTTTTTTTTTTTCAAAAAAGAAGAAGAAGGAGAAGGGGGAGGAGGAGGAGGGGGAGGAGGAGATTATTGCAAAGGTCCACCACTGGTCAAATTACAAGTAATAAATGGCTATGGGGTGACCAGACCCAGTTAATAATCTACAATGGAATCATATGTCTGAGGTTCAGAAAAAGTCATGGAAGAGGGAGTCTCAAGGTTTTAAGAGCCAGAGGACCAGGATGTTTGCTGTGAGTGTCTTCTGGACAGGGAAGCTGTCCCTGTGAAATCTCAGCAATATGGTAACCTAAACAAGACCAGCAAATGACACGAGTTGATTTGCCAATGTGAGTGGGAGAAATCTCACAGGGCTCCACCATTAAATGAAGAGCAACAGGCTCTCATTTGCTACCAAGAGGACAAATCAATTTTTCCAGGAATGAGCACCTTGGTGTTACCCAATCCCAAGTTGTCAGCCATAAACACATGCACAGGCGTGCGCGTGCACACACACACACACACACACACACACACATACACACAAGTGTCTTCTATTTGCCTGAAGCACTTGTCTCTGAGGCTTACCACCTCGATCTGCTAACCTAGGCCTGGAAGTTTCTAGCCTCCACACAATCTTATCTAGGCTTAGAATGTTTCCAGATTCTGAGACCTACTTCTGAATAAGCTCAGCCTTTCTAGCTCTTTCTGAACTCTTCCTGCTTGGTCAACTCAGCTGTTCTGGTTCAAAACTCTAAGCTGACTGATTCAATCTGGCTTCTCTCAGCTTCTCCTGAATTGCTCTGCTTAACCTCAAAGTAACTCTGGCAATATGTTTTTATTTTATGGCTTCTTTTTATTCTCTGACTCATTCTGTCTTTACTATTGCATAACTTGTTCTCTCTTCAACCTGACTCTGAAAAACTCTGCAAGTAAAACTGCCCCCTGCCTTTCTCTCTGCACTGCTCTCTCTTAAGTCACCAGTCTTTTCTATCTGTTCTCATGAGAGTTGGTCATATAGTATTCTGTCAAATCTTTCTCTGATTTGTCATTTTGTTTGCATAAAATTAGACATCACTTTCAAACATGGGTAGTTCCTTCTACAAACTAACTTTACCTTCTTTCCTTAGGATTTAAGGGTGTATACTAAGGACAGGTCTGTATTCCAGCCAGAGGGACTAAAGTATGTGCTAAAGGCTGACTTACACTACAACTAGAAATTGTTTCTTTAGCAAATAACACAATATCAGGGTTCACAGTATGATTAAATATCCTATAACATACACAACAACAACAGGGATCAAATATCCAGTAACACACGCAACAGCAACCCCATAAATAACTAAATAACTACATAACTAAAATAGAAGTCATGAATTTGAGAGGGAGTCAGGGAATAGGAGGATTTGGAAAGGTAAAGGGGTGGAAATGATCTGAATATAGTATCTCTGTGTGAATTCTCACGATAAATAAAAAATAAATACATTTTTTAAAAAGAGGTACCCAAGAAGGAACTCCA